TGACTGCAAGGATGAGTGCAAGTACTTGGCTTGAAAGTTTGGGAGGGAGTGCAACATACTGAAATGGAAATGAGGGAATGGAGTCCTGAGTATGCCACTCATTCTCACCCGACATGGTGTGTTTTCACTATGTGGAAAGTTGGTTGGGCACTTCTCAGTGGTTAAATAGCTTAGAGTGGTGGCAGCATTTATTAAGAGGAGAGCAGCGGCACTTACAAAGGGTTAGGACAACAAGGTGAATGATGTTCCTTTAACCACAATAATAACAGAGGTCAAGAGTGCACCAAGTAGACCTCATGGAAGGCAAGTGGCATGTTAATGTCCCGAATTCAATGTTTGGGTTTATGCAAGCTCCCTAGCTATCAGTCTCACTGGAGCACAATGCTGCTATAGAGGATTCAAGCTGGTTGTGAAAAAAGTGAGAGATGCAGTACATAAAGTTGGCAGAACTTGACACTGTACTGAAAGGTGTTAACGTGATATTGATGGCGAAAACAACAATATTTCACCTCTTCATTGACTCTGTAGGTACAAATGGATTACAGACACCCTTATGGGAAAGGCCAGAATATGCACCAAAGTGGCAAGCAAAATGCTAATTCAGGAGATGACTCAGTGCCCTCTCGAGCTTGGTTGAAGAGAATGGGTTGTCAGTAGATGTAACTATGGTGAGATCAGAACTTAACCGAGTGCATGGTCAGACAAGAGTACTGCAGTGATGGTTTGATTTGCTCAAGGAAACAGCTGAACTCCCAAAATGTGTGTGCTGTATCAACAAGTAAGTCTGACTTTGACCAGATAAGGTCCATCTATCACTGACATAAGGCGGATATTGTACTTTGTCAGGCAGATTGATCCCACAATTTCAAAGGCATCAATGAGGGCTGTAGTGGGGAAGTGCAAGAAGTGCCAATCAACTGACCTGCCACCTACACTTTGTCTGAAAGGGAAATTGGATGTCAGTGACACTTGGTATCAAGTGGAAATGGACATAACCTACTACCAGGATAGGCACTGTCATTCATTGATTGCAGACTTACATGTTTTTCTGTCTGGCATCACCTGAGATGGCAAGATGCGGCAAATATCATTGACCACTTGGAAGCCCTATTCTATGAACATGGTCCACCAAATGAAATGCTTGCAGACAATGACACAGCATTTCGCAGCAAGCCCTTCAGGGACTTCCTGAATGAATGGGGAGTGAGTCTGTGGTTCCACTGTGTGTATGTCTCTTCCAGTAATGGCATCATGGAACAAAAAAGCAGTTTATTGATACAACATCACTCTAAAAGATGATGTATTGCTGCTGACTGCCCCCGCCAACATGATTCATCAGTCGTATTATCACGAAGGAACACAAGGCACAAGAGACCGGCCCTGAGTTGCCACATATGTGATCATGAGGTCAGATGGCCAACCATTTTGATTTGGGCTTGGATTTCTAAGTTACAAAATTTTCATTGAAATCAGTGTGAATCTGTGAATGAGTTATTAAACAAACAAACCCTAAAGTTACCAAAAACCCATTCTTTATGTCATGCCAACTTCCTTGAGGTTATGTAGTTTGGTCAGGGGTGTCAGTTATGAACCATAAAATGAAAATTAGTGTGTGTCAAAATGGCTTGAAACTGAGACTGAGTTTACATTGTTAGAAGTTTACTTTTTGATAAATCTGAATGTTAAATATTTATCAAGATGGAATGTGTAGACTTGACTGGGTAGCTGAAAAATAGTTACCTTCACCATTTAGTAGGGAATATATTAATTTCTCCTAACATGCAAAAATAAATAATATATTCAACATTTATGAAACTGGGACATATTAGCATATCTTGGAGAAAATTAAAAACAGAGAATTGGATTATTATCACTCCAAGATAGAATGGGTCTAGGAAAGAAAGTGAAAATTCAGACACCTAACAATAGAAATTTTCAGTCTCAAGAACACCTGTGAGATTAAAGATGATACTTAGTTCTTCATTTAAACCTGCACTTGCAGGCAGTATAGCAGAGAAGGGGTTCCAGCTGTACACATTGGTGATAGAAACAGCAGAGCAGACCAGGGATTCTGGACATTCACATTGGTGATAGAAACAGCAGAAAGAATTAGGGATCCCAAAATCCACATCTGTGATAGAGAACCAAGAAAAAAAATCCAGTTGTTTGTCGCAGTTACTGTGATTGTCATGAGCAAGATACACGGCACAATGGCCGAAAACACCCACACATTGCATGCGTATGTTGTTGCAAAGCATTTGGAGGAAGGGAGAATTGGTGGGGTGCCCCTACATATATGTAAAACTCTCCCACTCAACCAATCGGATGCTTTGTCATGGTCTATAAAAATGAGTGTGTCTGAAGGCTTTGGCAGTTGGGGCCGACGAGGACGACGAAATACGACTGCCCTGTACGAGAGATGACTGCTCTATTCCAGTGGGTCCTTTTTGACATGATGGCTACAGTTACCAAGAAAGTTAGGCTCTGAATCACCAGAGATAATCAAGAGTTTCAGTCAATACAAGAGTGAAAGTCGGCATTCAGTAGTAGGAACTAGAAACTAACAGTCTTTTGGAATTGAAAGGTCACAAAACACCCAAAGCAATATAAAAATTCAATGGCTGCAAGAACTCTTTTAAAGTGATTATTGTTATAGATGGACATACATAACCATGTTGTAGATACTATCAAACCAAAAGGCCAGAATCACCTAAAATTTTACATTTGATCTTTGTTTTATTTCTTTCATTAGTTCTTCTGTCTATTCACCAAGAAGTAAAATTCCTTTAATCATGTTCTGCCATTGGTCATTATTTTTGTTGAGCGAGTTCATGCTGTTTGATTTCCACTCCAGTGAAGCAGCAATCTGAAAACTAGGACCTAACAAGATTATTTGAGTTTTGTTAGGTACACAACAAACCCACTAGATGTTTATGATTTTAATTGGGGGTGGCAGTGAGGAAATAATCAAGAATATCTAAGGCAGAGAAATAACTCCTACACCAATATCAAAAATCACCCCACTGTCATACATCTGTTGATGTATAATGTGGTGATGTTAGGATTAAAATCCTGAGGAACCACTCCTGTTTACATAGCATGACATTGGGATTTCACACCCATTTCCATCCAAAGATGAAAATGTATCTGTTGAAAATTTTTTTCAGAAGTTTGAACAAATTTGAACTCTCACATGTTTTGAATCTTTGCTCACCATGAACAATAACTTCATTCAAAATGCTGTTAAAAATGCAGTAAAATTCCTCAAACTTGTTCAATTGTTTTTAGATGTTCTCAACCTCACAAATATACTTTTTGAAAAGCTGAAAACAGAATCTCTGAGCCATTCAATATTTTAAAACAACCAATAAAAATTTAAACTGAAAATCTTCCCCAGTGAATACTTGTCAAGAGGAATAATTTCAATGTGTTTCAGGTAACTTTGGAAATTGACAGCAGTGCTGTTCAAACTGTTGACTTTGAGAAAAAAGTTGAAATTCTTTTCAAAGTTTTGAAGAAAATTTGATGTTCACAAATACATGAAACTGATTGAGAGTACCAAATTAAGTGAATGTGCATGTACAAATAGGATGTTTGCAACCAAAATCTTTATTCTTGCTGTACTCCATTCAAATGCCCAGCCATCACACTTGCTCCATCATAAAATTCATTAACAAGTTTTCAAATAAACTTCACTGGTTGCTCCTTTTTGTTCCAAGTGTGAATTGGTTAAGAAGAAAATTCTGGGTAGTGGTCACATGACTGAATCCAGGTCTTAAGAAGGGATCAAGTATACTTTCCATGAGTTAGATCTTTTTAAAAGCAGTAAAGAAAGTAATTTTTGATGTGACATTAGGGTCACTAGATGTTCCATATATACTCTTCAGTACAGAATAAGCATAATGATCATGTGTACAATTAGGATAGTGAAAAATTATCAATAACTTTATATTACGCAAAAATGATTTATCCTAGAAAAAATAAGGCATGCAGTGCATGCATAAACTCTTTGTCCCTGGTACACACTTTAAAAAAAAAAACGGCTGTCTATTTCAAACACTAAAAATAATGTTTGAGGTAATAAAAATGCTGGATTAAAAACAAAATGTATTAATTCTTTAAAATATATATATATATATATATATATATATATATATATATATATATATATATATATATATATATATATACTTTTTTTTAAATATCTGGATCTTAGAAGCTGCTTTTTTATTTTATATTTTTATAGAAATTTAATTTATTTCCCTGTTTTAAAATGTGGTTATAGCATATAATTGATCTTACAGAATTTCTATGCACTATTCTTCTTAGGGATTATATGCATGCTCAGATTTCCTAATGATATTTTGTCTTAATTTTATCTGTTTACTTTTGGATATTTTTACTGAAATTTGTTAACTGTTTTTGGAAATTTTATAGATTTATACCAACCAAACTTTTGTTTGTATGGTAATGCTGAAACATAGGCTTATTCTATTATAATTACTGTGACATGGCAATTCACATGCTTTCAAACTGGGGGAGGGTGATTACCCAAGTTCTGAAGTAACCTAGGCATATTGCTAAATATTTAAAAGTGATCTTAACATTGTGTTAAGTAAATAGTTTAAAGAACAGATAATTTTAGATGATCATGTTTGTAACCAGAGATTCATTTGCAGTCCCTTATTTTTGTATGGTTGATGATTCTTTTTTTTTTTTTTTTTTTGTATTATATGAGGAGTTCTTGAAAGGTTCTTGCCATGACTAAAACAAATGACTTAGATCTATGAAATATGTGCTATTTTATATATTAATTCTGAAGTTCAATGCTTTTGACACATATTTTCTCAAGTTTCTTTAACCCTTCCTTCCAAATTTTGATATTTGGTCATTGAAATATTGATTCTTTAACATGGGCCAGGTCAAGAACTTCAGTGTCCCTATGTACAAAACATTTTTCACTATTTTGATTTTAATGTTTCTTTTGTTATGTTTTGTAGAATCGGACTCAGAAAGACAGTAGAGAACTAACTCTTTGGAAGAAAATTACCTTGACCTCATACAGTAAGAACTTTTGCTCTCTTTTTCATGTTAAATTTCTGTTATTTTAAAGGTTTTATTTGATTTAAAGATTTTAAAGTACAACTATCATTATCTGGCCTTGTGTATTTTCAGTTTCAAATTTTACATGAATTAAACATTTATTTTGTTGCAGGTGGATTTTTTTAATTTGAACAAAATATGGAATATTTCTTTTTATTTTATTTTATTTCTTTTTTATAGGAAGCTTCTGGAATTTTTTAAGGAATATTGGACTTAGATTACCTTTTAAGTATGTATTTATTTTGAAATATTATTTTCTAAAAATCAGTCACTTGTGCTCTAATCTTACATTTGATGGCCTTTTGGTTTTTCTATATTATTGAAAGATAGAAACTTCTGGGATACAATTAAAAGCCATTAATTAATATCAGAAGAAAATTTTATAGTACAAATTCATAGATTTAAAAATAAACTTAATAATTTTGTTAATTGAGGAAGGGGTTATATTTAATTTTCTGATGTACTAAAGTTATAATTCATTTGATTCTCTCATTTTTCAGTTCAGGTCCACTGTGGGATCTTCCTCCAGGATTTGTACATATAGTGAATTGTCAGTTGGCGTGGAATATTGCTGTTGGCAGGTAGATATTCTTCACTTGTGTTCACTGGATTTATAAAAAAAAAAAAAAACTAAAGTTATTATTTTAATTGTTGGGGAAGATGAGAACTAACTTGAAAAGATTTTCTTAAAAATTCAAAGTTTTTGTACAAAAAAGAATTAAATGAAAATTTTTTTCTTAAATTTGACAGTTTTTTCTTTTTTTTAATTAAGAATTCTTTCATTAGTCTAATAGCAGTAATTCCTTTTATTTAATGTCATTTTTTAATTTTTGGTAAACCATATGATTGGTTTGGTTCGGTGGAATTATTTGGCTGGTTAATAAAATACAAGAAAGAATGTGATAATGTCTAAGGCATGTTTTTCATTTTATCAGAATTAAATTTTTGGTTATACAAATGTATTTAATGTTTTTTTAATATTCTAAGACAAATTTGTAAATCTACCTTCATTTTAACTTTGATGACTGAACTTGGTTGTTAAATTGCTGGAATTTACTCAGATGCTATCGCTGCAGTTATTTTAGTACTTGTTTAAATAACTGTTTTCATTTAATATTTATATGAGGATTGGCCAAAAAGTAATGTCTTTTCTCATTTTAAAGGTAATCATTTTTTCTTTTTTTAACATTTTACAAGAAAGGGAATAAAGCCACTAAGATGCAAGAGGTTACTGAGTAAGAGAGAATATGAGAAAATGAAAACCTTATTAAGGAGAGAGAACAATAAAAGAACAGGAATTAAGAAGACAGAAGATAATAATTGACACTGCATTTATAATTTTGAAGATCAAAATTGATTGGAAAGCAAGAAACCAGTAGGGAGTTCCATGAGTGAAAAGTGAGATAGAAGAAATGATTAGCATAGAACTTACAGTTACATCTAGCAGCCATTTCAACTGTAAAATGATAAGACTGTGCCACCAATTGAGTACTGCACTTCATAAAGTCTAGATACCAAAGAAGAATCTAATCACAACAATTACCATGAAAATATTTTTTAAAAAAGGCACAGGGAACCTATGTTATGGAGGTGGGAAATTGTCAGAATTTCTATTTTTTGCTTCTGAATTTCTTTTTTCCTACCAATAATCTTCTTTTAATATGTCTGCTCCCCCAGTAAACTATTATAGAACTTTTGTTTTTGGAAAAAGAAAGTGCAGACATTCGCAAGAGCTTAAAGAATGTTTATGGAAAGGTTGCACTTGATGTAAGCATAGTAGAGTTAATGGCAATTCTAGAGAAAAAGGAGAACTGATCTTTGACTGGTCAGTTGTTGCTATAAATGAGGAGAGGGTCAAACAGGCTGATGCTGTTATTACAGCTGACAGAAAAATTGTAAAACTGTCAATGCCTTCAGGTGAGCCATGGTAGTGCTTGTAATTTAGTGTAATCTCTCAGCTATTCAAAGGTCTATAAAAAGTGGGTACCTCAAATGTTGAAAAAGACTATGAAAAAGCAGAGAGTGGTTACTACTCAAAAGCTTTTAGAGCTACAAAACATGGATAGCACCTCCCAAAGCAGAGTTAATCAATGGAGATTAACTCCAGGTTTGCAACTTTGCTAGAGAGTAAAAATATCAATAGAGTGGCAGCATCCAGATTCATCTAGAAAGAAGTGGTTTAAGACAGCATGCTCTGTAGGAAAAGTGATAGTTATTGTGTTTTGGGGCCAGAAGTAAGTTATGCTATTAGAGGTTTTTTTTTCACTAACATTACTATCAAATTTGGCTCCTTGTTAACACATTTTCAAAACTTGGATCAAAGTTTCTTTAATCTGGGCCACATTTGAATATGAGTGATGTGATTTTGTAACATGCTGAATGACCATACAAGCAATCACAAGACATGATTGAACAGCCTTAAACTTTCATTTGTTTTGGGATTCCTGAAGGAGGTACTCAGAGGATGGTACTTCTCTAATTATGATGAGATGAAACAGGCAACTTTTACATTCATGACTAAAAATAGTAGCCAAGAAGCTTTTACAATGAAGGTGTACATATTCGCATTCAAATGTGGTATACCTTGATTGAGAACAAAGAATCCTGAGATTATTGTGTTTCTTTTGGTTTGCTTTATGTCCACTTCTATTATTAAATCTGTTATAACTCGTATCACACAACTCCCTCATAATTACCATTTCAATTTTAACTCTCTACCTTCAATAAACTCCCAATCCATGTATTTGTATGATATTTAGTAAAAGAAAAAAATGAAAAAACAAAAACAGGCATTACTTTTTGATCTACTCTTGTATATTAATTGCAAAATTGCATAATATTAATTCAGTCTTTTAATAAGATTGATCCATAAATTCATAGCCAAATTTTAAAGATCTATATTTTTTTTATTTTTTACAAGATGTGGTCAGTTAGTTGCTATTCTGCAGGATCAGTTTGTGGAGATAAGGTATGTTGAAAATATGAAATATAAAGAAATATTTTTTTATTGTTTGGATAATGTTTTTGTTACTAGAAGATTTCGTTATATTTTGTTTTAAAAGTTAAACAAAAAAACAACAGAATTATATAAGAGATACATAATTGTGTAATTGTCATATACATAAGTTTCAGAATGGAAAAATGGAGTACATTTTGATATGTGAACATATTTTATCATTGTTAGATGATAATTCTATCCCAGTTTCTTTTTTAATAATAATTTCAACAAAGATTAGAAATTAAAGTAAATATAAATTGATGTATTCAAATTAATGATTTTATTTTGTTAAATTAAAATTTTGAATAATGCAGATGTAACATGTTACTCCATTTATCACCTCATATAAGGTAGTCACTTTTTAGCTGATATCTTTTTTGTTTTCTAGTAGATCTTAATGTAATACAGTGAGAGAGTATTCAATATATGAGTCAGCTGTGAATGACATTAATTGTAATTTTTTTATATATAAAATAACATTGGAATAATGACATCTTAGAAAAGTGCATCTGTTTAGAATATATGATATGCAGCAACTGATGACATCCTCCATTCATCCATTGTTCACTGCACCATCTGATGACAACCAAGGTTGGTTGTGTTTGCATATACATCTGACTAGGTCTGTGTCCAGGTTTATCCACTTGGCTGTAATCAAATTCACAAAGAATAACAACAATTGCTTTTCAAGATTCTCTGGTTGGGAAATATCAACAACACGAATTTTCACTTAGCCAGCTATCTTTCCTTTGGCTGAAATGCTATCTTACTAACTGCCACTGGTCCCTTCCTCTATGGTCACTGGGCAGCTATTCACTCACTGGTCGCCTACCTACTTCTCTCAGACTTTCTCTCTGCTTATATGGATAATGGCTGAGGCCCTATCTGTCCCTTTGTGTTTCGGAACTAGAGACCACCCAAAAAGCCAGATTAGTGGTCAAATCTTCAAAAGCTTCTAATTTTATGATTAACTAAAATCATTAGCAATAATTCAAAGGCTGCTGGAGGTAAAAATCCCCAAAACACTGACACTTAAGTTGATTCAAAGATGGACTGGAGACAAATTTCCTGAAAGCTTTGTGTACTTAAGTTGACTCAAAAGAAAAGGGATTTATCTAGTTATCTCTTAATGATGTGTGAGAAATCATATTGTCATAAACCTATTTGGTGTATAGGCAGGAGCTCTTAAAACCCAAAGAAAACTATCTATCTAAGAGCAGAAAAGAGTCTGTAATGTAAAAGTTTTGTCTGGTATTGCAGGTAACAAAATATTCCTTTCTTTCTGCAAATGGATTCAAATACATGTTGAGGTAGTTGTCTCATTTTGTTACCTGGGTAACATGATTGGTGTTAGCAATTGTGAGTCATTATAGCAATTGCTATTTAAAGAGGTACTTATGGGGAAGTTCAGAGAACTGTTGCCCACAGACCATTACATTACATCACTCATTCAAACGTGAATGATGTTTCCCTTCCAGTGAAACTGCAGATTTTGTGTCTGTTTCAAAAGACATTGAACGGTTTTTCTTAAAATATAAGAACGATAAACTGTTGCTTTGTTTCCTTGCAGATGATTTTTTTAGCATGATCATGAAACTATTAAGATTTGTAAAGGAAGAGCACACTTAAAAGATAATTACATTTCCCAAACTGAATGAATTTGTAAGAATTTTGTCAAACCCAAACATGTATAAAGATGCTGCAAAGATCAAGTGGGGATTTCTGGTAGATAGGGCTATGCAAAATTTATCTAAAAAGGGAAATGTGTCAACAAAAGATCTGTTTGCTTGCAGAATTTCAACAAAGACAATGTTCATCATTGTCACAGAGAAACTTCTGCTAAAGTCTCCCCTTAGATACTTTCTTGTAAGTTCACTTGCATGGCTGAACCCTGGATCCATTTGTGAAAAAAAAAGTCACAGAAAACAGTCTAAAAAGATGTCTTTCTCACATGATGGCCAGAAAACAAGTCAGCAAGTCTGATTGTGATAACATCATCAGTCAGTATAAAGAGTTTGAGGAGGAGGCTGCTGGAAATATTGCTATAAGAATTTCAGCAAGCATGAAGACTCTCTGAACACTTTGCACTTGCAACAAAGAATATAAAAAAGTATGAAAAGTTGTTTGCAGATTGCTGGTACTTGCTCATGGACAGGCCTCAGTGGAGAGAAGTTTCTCAGTTAATAAAGAAATTTCCACTGACAATATGAAACAGCTGACTCTGGTTGCACAGTGCATTATCACAGACTATTTGGCTATGGCTGGAGGTTCTGGGAATGTTCCCATGACTAAAGCTCTTCTCTGCAGTGCTTCCAATCCCAGAACAGTATACCTTGAGGCTCAAAGAAAAAAAAAAGGTAAAAGAAGCAGCTGGACAAAAATGGAAATTGAAGAACTGAAGACTAAAAAACACAAGCTTGAAAGTTGCACACAAGATTTGCTCAAGTCAGCTGACAGCTATGCAAAGAAAGCTGAGAAAACTCAGAATTTCACACTTATCACATAGTCCAATAGCATATGTACATCTGCAAAGGACAAATCCATAGAGATATCAAAATTGGAAGAGGAGCTGAATGCTAAACTAGATGAAATGAAAAAAGGTTAATGTGTTCTGTGCCATGTGGAGCAGTCAAGAATTTTTGTGACAGTCACAATCCATGAATAGTCTATATAGCTGAAATGTGTTGCTGTAAGAATTAAAATGTGTAATTCAAAATTTTCAAGTGCAGTAGAACTCCAAACTGTGTACAATGCTGCACATAATGTGTAACATAACTAGGTCTGCATTCAGTTGCCTTCAGCACATTGATTTCAACTGATCCATGTGACATGAATTATCAGAACCTACTGTAGCTTTTCTTTGAACATCTCATCTGTCAAACTATTAAAAGATAAACTACAAAGCTTGTGTTCTTGAAATTGATGACCATTCACTTTGTGTGTGTGTGTACGTATCAGTTTCAGTCCTTGAAACTTTTTAACATAATCCTGGAAAAGTCCTTAAAAAGAATTTTTTTTTACACAAATCTGTGGGAACGCTGAAGAGTCATTTTATTCACCAGTTTATTATTTTCTTTTTTGTTTTTGTACTCAGTAAACCTGTTGTTAGAGTTATCAATGATGTTGTGCATTTTTTTGAAGCAATTCTTATTCCAGCTCTGATTTCTAATGTTGTCCTTGGATACAAAAAGACAAAATTTACCATGGCCACAGATAGGAATTATGCAGTCTCGTCTGGTACAACGTATATATTCGGTCCATCACTAGACTTTTTCATCAATCCGAATATTGTAAGATTTGGAGAACCCAAATCAACCCTATCGAGACAACACACTGGGCACCAGCAAAGGAGTGAAAGGAAAGCTAGATGACCCATAAGGTTGATATTACTCAACAAAGCTAGCAGAGACTGTAAAGAAGAGTATGAATAGGAAGCAGTATATTGAGCTGAGAAGGGAAGTTTGAATAGCAAAAGACAGGTAAAGAAAACTTGAAAAGAACAATGACCTCAAGAAATTGAAGTTGAAAGAAGACATATCTCTAGATATAATAGGTAGTTCAGGCTTCCAAAAATTTCCATTCTTTGTAAGAAGGAAAGACAGTGAACTGGGTAATTAATGAATGAATAAACCTGTGTTGGCTTCAGGAACCTTTTCAAGTTGAAGTGCTATTTTTAACTGAGAACAACATTGCATAAAATTGCATAATTTTTATGAACAAAAATATTTACATGACTCATTGGCTGGAAGAGAGAGGTACAGATCTTTAAATCTAACAAGTAGTATTTTCATACATTAGGTTATGATGAAACTACATTCAACTATTCAAGAGGGGAAAATGAGAATGGGAAAAGCCGATAAAATTTAACCCCTGGCCAAAAACAGACTTATCATGGTCTAGGTTACATGTGGATTTCGCAGGTCCACTGAATGGATACTATTACATCATAGTAGTGGATAGTTTCTCGAAATGGCCTGAGATACAAAGGATAAGAAATCCGATGACGCAAAGTACTAAAAACTTCCTGCTGGAATTGTTCACAAGGTTTCGATGTAAACTGAGTTCCGTTGTCCGTCACAATTGTGTCTACACAATTGTGACGGACAACGGAACTCAGTTTACGTCGAAACAATTTAAAGATTTCTGCAAGGGATACAACGTTGAACATGTTACCACAGCTCCATATCACCCAAGATCAAACGGGTTAGCTGAAAAATTTGTGGACATTCTGAAAAGAGCTCTAAAGAAAGCTAGGGAAATACCTGCAGATGAAGCCCTACAGAAGTTTCTACAGGTATACAGAATTACCCCAAATAACGGAACACCAGCCTCACAATTGCCATCTGAGGTGATGTTCGCACGTCGGGTAAGATCTGTCTTCGACAAATTATTACCAAAAAAGACAAAGCCAGGTAGAGAAAAATTTATTCAAGTAAAAAAAAATACAATCCTGGTGAAAAAGTATACTTTAAGGTCTATAAGCAGAATAAATCATTCTGGGAGATTGGAAAAATAGAAAAGTGGATTGGCAATATGATGTACTTGGTGAAAGGCGGAAAATTCATGTGCAGACGGCACATTAACCAGATCAGATGATGCTCTTCAGATGTGGTTGACAGTGGTCCCGTGGAAGAAACGCCGATGGAGGTGATTTTCGATATGTTTGATCTAACAATGCCTGCAACGATTTTACCTGAGGTACGCCAATCCAGGAGAAAAAGAAAGGCAACTGATCATTTAAAAGTGGATCCAAAACGTAGGAGATACGCTACGATGTTGCTAAAAAAATGAAGTATTTTTTTTGTATTTTTTCTTCATATTTCCTGTAAAAAAAATAAAGAAAACTGTTTTACTCCTATGGAATAAAGTTTTAGGAGGGGGGTGTTATGGTGAAACACACCTATTCTATAGTTAATAGACTCTCCCACTTAATATAAGTAGGAGTAGTAAGAGAAACAAGGGTCAGTCGA